ATTGACAATAAAAGCGAATAGCTGACTTTGAGCGCCGATATCTCGAAAACTATCTGTCCTATGGAGCTGATTATAGTCTCATTCGATTCAGCGTGTCATTTTCTATTGGAAAAGCGATAATTCGCGTGGATTTTTGCCGTTTTCTGGCACTTTCGGCCGTCCGAAGATGGCTCGGTGACTATATCGTACTGAAGTCTTAGGTGGGAAAATGAAAATTTTTATTTGGCCTATTAAAAATCTGAAAAAATTCACATAGACTAATTCGATGTCGAAATGAACGAATCTGTGGTGGAAATTGGGAAATTTTGGAGAATGGAGACGTAGTAGCCTACAGGATTGCTCCTATTGACAATAAAAGCGAATAGCTGACTTTGAGCGCCGATATCTCGAAAACTATCTGTCCTATGGAGCTGATTATAGTCTCATTCGATTCAGCGTGTCATTTTCTACTGGAGAAGCGATAATTCGCGTGGATTTTTCCGTTTTCTGGCACTTTCGGCCGTCCGAAGATGGCTCGGTGACTATATCGTACTGAAGTCTTAGGTGGGAAAATGAAAATTTTTATTTGGCCTATTAAAAATCTGAAAAAAATCACATTGACTAATTCGATGTCGAAATGAACGAATCAGTGGTGGAAATTGGGAAATTTTGGAAAATGGAGACGTAGTAGCCTACAGGATTGCTCCTATTGACAATAAAAGCGAATAGCTGACTTTGAGCGCCTATATCTCGAAAACTATCTGTCCTATGGAGCTGATTATAGTCTCATTCGATTCAGCGTGTCATTTTTTATTGGAAAAGTGATAATTCGCGTGGATTTTTGCCGTTTTCTGGCACTTTCGGCCGTCCGAAGATGGCTCGGTGACTATATCGTACTGAAGTCTTAGGTGGGAAAATGAAAATTTTTATTTGGCCTATTAAAAATCTGAAAAAAATCACATTGACTAATTCGATGTCGAAATGAACGAATCTGTGGTGGAAATTGGGAAATTTTGGAAAATGGATACGTAGTAGCCTACAGGATTGCTCCTATTGACAATAAAAGCGAATAGCTGACTTTGAGCGCCGATATCTCGAAAACTATGTGTTCTATGGAGCTAATTATAGTCTCATTCGATTCAGCGTGTCATTTTCTATTGGAAAAGCGATAATTCGCGTGGATTTTTGCCGTTTTCTGGCACTTTCGGCTGTCCGAAGATGGCTCGGTGACTATATCGTACTGAAGTCTTAGGTGGGAAAATGAAAATTTTTATTTGGCCTATTAAAAATCTGAAAAAATTTACAAAGACTAATTCGATGTCGAAATGAACGAATCTGTGGTGAAAATTGGGAAATTTTGGAAAATAGAGACGTAGTAGCCCACAGAGGATTGCTCCTATTGACCATAAAAGCGAATAGCTGACTTTGAGCGCCGATATCTCAAAAACTATCTGTCCTATGGAGCTGATTATAGTCTCATTCGATTCAGCGTGTCATTTTCTATTGGAAAAGCGATAATTCGCGTGGATTTTTGCCGTTTTCTGGCACTTTCGGCTGTCCGAAGATGGCTCGGTGACTATATCGTACTGAAGTCTTAGGTGGGAAAATGAAAATTTTTATTTGGCCTATTAAAAATCTGAAAAAAATCACATTGACTAATTCGATGTCGAAATGAACGAATCTGTGGTGGAAATTGGGAAATTTTGGAAAATGGATACGTAGTAGCCTACAGGATTGCTCCTATTGACAATAAAAGCGAATAGCTGACTTTGAGCGCCGATATCTCGAAAACTATCTGTCCTATGGTGCTGATTATAGTCTCATTCGATTCAGCGTGTCATTTTCTATTGGAAAAGCGATAATTCGCGTGGATTTTTGCCGTTTTCTGGCACTTTCGGCCGTCCGAAGATGGCTCGGTGACTATATCGTATTGAAGTCTTAGGTGGGAAAATGAAAATTTTTATTTGGCCTATTAAAAATCTGAAAAAAATCACATGGAATAATTCGATGTCGAAATGAACGAATCTGTGGTAAATTGGGAAATTTTGGAAAATGGATAGGTAGTAGCCTACAGGATTGCTCCTATTGACAATAAAAGCGAATAGCTGACTTTGAGCGCCGATATCTCGAAAACTATCTGTCCTATGGAGCTGATTATAGTCTCATTCGATTCAGCGTGTCATTTTCTATTGGAAAAGCGATAATTCGCGTGGATTTTTGCCGTTTTCTGGCACTTTCAGCCGTCCGAAGATGGCTCGGTGACTATATCGTATTGAAGTCTTAGGTGGGAAAATGAAAATTTTTATTTGGCCTATTAAAAATCTGAAAAAAATCACATTGACTAATTCGATGTCGAAATGAACGAATCTGTGGTAAATTGGGAAATTTTGGAAAATGGATAGGTAGTAGCCTACAGGATTGCTCCTATTGACAATAAAAGCGAATAGCTGACTTTGAGCGCCGATATCTCGAAAACTATCTGTCCTATGGAGCTGATTATAGTCTCATTCGATTCAGCGTGTCATTTTCTATTGGAAAAGCGATAATTCGCGTGGATTTTTCCGTTTTCTGGCACTTTCGGCCGTCCGAAGATGGCTCGGTGACTATATCGTACTGAAGTCTTAGGTGGGAAAATGAAAATTTTTATTTGGCCTATTAAAAATCTGAAAAAAATCACATTGACTAATTCGATGTCGAAATGAACGAATCAGTGGTGGAAATTGGGAAATTTTGGAAAATGGAGACGTAGTAGCCTACAGGATTGCTCCTATTGACAATAAAAGCGAATAGCTGACTTTGAGCGCCTATATCTCGAAAACTATCTGTCCTATGGAGCTGATTATAATCTCATTCGATTCAGCGTGTCATTTTTTATTGGAAAAGTGATAATTCGCGTGGATTTTTGCCGTTTTCTGGCACTTTCGGCCGTCCGAAGATGGCTCGGTGACTATATCGTACTGAAGTCTTAGGTGGGAAAATGAAAATTTTTATTTGGCCTATTAAAAATCTGAAAAAATTCACATAGACTAATTCGATGTCGAAATGAACGAATCTGTGGTGAATATTGGGAAATTTTGGAAAATGGAGACGTAGTTGCCTACAGGATTGCTCCTATTGACAATAAAAGCGAATAGCTGACTTTGAGCGCCGATATCTCGAAAACTATCAGTCCTATGGAGCTGATTATAGTTTCATTCGATTCAGCGTGTCATTTTCTATTGGAAAAGCGATAATTCGCGTGGATTTTTGCCGTTTTCTGGCACTTTCGGCCGTCCGAAGATGGCTCGGTGACTATATCGTACTGAAGTCTTAGGTGGGAAAATGAAAATTTTTATTTGGCCTATTAAAAATCTGAAAAAATTTACAAAGACTAATTCGATGTCGAAATGAACGAATCTGTGGTGAATATTGGAAAATTTTGGAAAATGGAGACGTAGTTGCCTACAGGATTGCTCCTATTGACAATAAAAGCGAATAGCTGACTTTGAGCGCCGATATCTCGAAAACTATCTGTCCTATGGAGCTGATTATAGTCTCATTCGATTCAGCGTGTCATTTTCTATTGGAAAAGCGATAATTCGCGTGGATTTTTGTCGTTTTCTGGCACTTTCGGCCGTCCGAAGATGGCTCGGTGACTATATCGTACTGAAGTCTTAGGTGGGAAAATGAAAATTTTCATTTGGCCTATTAAAAATCTGAAAAAAATCACATAGACTAATTCGATGTCGAAATGAACGAATCTGTGGTGGAAATTGGGAAATTTTGGAAAATGGAGACGTAGTAGCCTACAGGAGTTCTCCTATTAACAATAAAAGCGAATAGCTGACTTTGAGCGCCGATATCTCGAAAACTATGTGTTCTATGGAGCTAATTATAGTCTCATTCGATTCAGCGTGTCATTTTCTATTGGAAAAGCGATAATTCGCGTGGATTTTTGCCTATTTCTGGCACTTTCGGCCGTCCGAAGATGGCTCGGTGACTATATCGTACTGAAGTCATAGATGGGAAAATGAAAATTTTCATTTGGCCTATTTAAAATCTGAAAAAAATCACATAGACTAATTCGATGTCGAAATGAACGAATCTGTGGTGGAAATTGGGAAATTTTGGAAAATGGAGACGTAGTAGCCTACAGGAGTTCTCCTATTGACAATAAAAGCGAATAGCTGACTTTGAGCGCCGATATCTCGAAAACTATGTGTTCTATGGAGCTAATTATAGTCTCATTCGATTCAGCGTGTCATTTTCTATTGGAAAAGCGATAATTCGCGTGGATTTTTGCCTATTTCTGGCACTTTCGGCCGTCCGAAGATGGCTCGGTGACTATATCGTACTGAAGTCTTAGGTGGGAAAATGAAAATTTTTATTTGGCCTATTAAAAATCTGAAAAAATTCACATAGACTAATTCGATGTCGAAATGAACGAATCTGTGGTGGAAATTGGGAAATTTTGGAAAATGGAGACGTAGTAGCCTACAGGAGTTCTCCTATTGACAATAAAAGCGAATAGCTGACTTTGAGCGCCGATATCTCGAAGAGCGATAATTCGCGTGAATTTTTGCCGTTTTATGACACTTTCGGTCGTCCGAAGATGGCTCGGTGACTATTGGCAATAAAAGCGAATAGCTGACTTTAAGCGCCGAAATCTGGAAAACTATCTGTCCTATGGAGCTGATTATCAATTGATCTAGCATATTTTCATCAATGTATGTATGGTTAATTCATTGAATTAGCCAATAATTTGTTCATTAATTCATCCAATGATTTTAATCACCTTCCTCCCAGGTCTGTTGACAAATTATTTGTGATAATGGATTTTTGCATTCAGATTTATCAATTCAATCCTTAATTTATTCATTCATTCTGTATGTAATCACTTTTGCAGCTCATCACTTAGTGTATTGCTTCATTCATCGATTATAACCAGTTCATCCATCAATTCATACCTTTATTCGTAATTATTCCTTTATTCATGAATTCATTTCTTTATTCATTAATTAATTCATATGACTCTTTGATAGGGTAAAATTATCAGCATAGATGGTTCGATGATTACAATAATGCCCAAACATGAAGATCTCAAAGATCCATTGGTATTCCAAGCCAACGAATTGAAAAAGTACTTCAAGATGGGAGACCACGTCAAAGTATTGGCAGGTAAGGAGTTCATATGGTATACAGAATACGACGTTCCAAGAAAAAAGTAAAAAGTTTTTTCTTTTGATGATGTAACATTTCATGATCTCGACGTATATTAAGTCAAATATCTGACATACATGTCGGAATTTGGAGTTGTTAGTCAGAATTCTGTGTTGGACATGTCATAATCATGAGTTGCTAGTCAGATTTCGGAGATAATTGTGAGAATTATGAGTTGTATGTTGAAATTCCAAGATACAATAAAATTCTGTCATACAAGTCATAATTTTGAGATCACAAATTAGAAATTATGAGTTGTATGTTGGAATTCGAAGATACAATTTGAAATTCTGTCATACGAGTCGGGAGTTTGAGATCACAACTTAGAAATTCTGACATACATGTCAGACTAATGAGTTGTAAGTTGGAATTCTAAGATACCAGTTACAAATTCTGACATACATGTCATTATCTTGAGGTGCTAGTCCGATTTCTGAGTTACTTGTCAGAATTATATGTTGTATGTTGGAATTCCAAGATACAATATAATATTGTCATACAAGTCAGAATTTTGAGATCACAAATTAGAAATTGTTAGTTGTATGTTGCAATTCGAAGATACAAGTTAAAATTCTGTCATACAAGTCAGAAGTTTGAGATCACAAATTGAAAATTCTGACATACATGTCATACTGAGTTGTATGTTGGAATTCTAGATACAAATTACAAATTCTGACATACATGTCATTATCTTGAGGTTCTAGTTCGATTTCTGAGTTACTTGTCAGAATAATGAGTTGTATGTTGGAATACAAGTAAAGAATTATTGACATAAAAGTCAGAATTCTAAGATACATGTTAGAAATTTTAACATACAACTTGTAATCGGGAGTTGACAGAATTCGAGGTCTCTAGTCAGAATTATGAGCTGTCATACAAGTTCCATGGCTAGTTGAGGAGGAATTCGTATAGTATACAGGGTGCAACGTTTGAAGAAAAAAGCACAAATATCGCCCTCATTGTGCAAATATTTCATTTTTTTTTCGTGTTTCAGGACGTTACGAAGGAGATACCGGTCTGGTGGTGAGAGTGGAGAAGAACCGGGTGGTGCTCATATCAGATTTGACGATGCACGAGATGGAGATTTTGCCGAAGGATTTGCAACTGTGCACGGACATGGCCAGTGGCGTGGACTCGTTGGGAAAGTTCGAGTGGGGCGACCTGGTGAATTTGGACGCCGAGACCGTCGGGGTGATCGTCAGGTTGGAGAGGGAGAATTTCCATGTTCTCAATATGCACGGTAACTATATCAATAACAATTTATATATCAAGGGCGGAAAGATATCCTTATCCTCCGGCGTGTGAAGTTTGTATAATCGATTCATAACATGTTGCTTCTTCGATCTAAAACATAGTTCATATTAAATATCCAATTTCAGATGAATTGGGAATTGAGATTGTATGAGTTACATAATATGGAATATGATACTGAAATATAGAGAATTTTTTTTCAAATTCTGTTACCTGTCGTGTCTCCATTGAGACATAAAGGTGACCCAGAAGAAAGGGAGATGTTGGTTCCACCACCACCCCTACTAAAATGTAGGCTACTGAACAGAGTTTCCCTTGATGACAATTATTTGACTACTTGTATACTCAAATCATGAACTTAACTTGATTCATCAAAGTATGTGCCTTTCGGTCTGCCTTTGGAAAACAGAATTTTGAAAAAGTTTTTCACCTCCCTCTCTTCTTTTTCCCTACTCTTTCATTTCTTCCTTCAGTATTCAGAAATGCGAGAATGGGAAATTCATCACCCGTCGTTGGTTTCTGGTCTGGTTTCCTCTTCGATACAATTTTTCCGTCGATTAATATTACGTCGCTTCTTCGATCTGAAACATACTTGGTATCATATCTCGAATTTGAAATATATATGAAAACTTTTTTCAAATTTTGTTGCTGAAACGCGACATATTCTATGAACGGAAAAATAGCCAACAATTTTCTCCTAAATGAGAAACACTGTATATACCTAACCCATCAGGCGCCTACCCCGGTTGCAACGAGGGTTTACCGATGCCAAGGGTTGATACTCTCCCCTCGTAAGGGTACCTGTTGTGTCTCCATTGAGACATAAAGGTGACTATTGAAAAATGTTCTATGATATATCGCCTTCCATAACAAATATAAAATTTGGAAGAAATCGTGAATAGGAATGAAAAACTTATCTCCGGTTCGCTGGTTTCTGGTCTGGTTTCCTCTTCGGTACAATTTTTCCGTCGATTAATATTACGTCGCTTCTTCGATCTGAAACATACTTGGTATTATATCTCGAATTTGAAATATATATGAAAACTTTTCTCAAATTATGTTGCTGAAACGCGACATATTCTATGAACGGAAAAATAGCCAACAATTTTCTCCTAAATGAGAAACACTGTATATACCTAACCCATCAGGCGCCTACCTCGGTTGCAACGAGGGTTTACCGATGCCAAGGGTTGATACTCTCCCCTCGTAAGGGTACCTGTTGTGTCTCCATTGAGACATAAAGGAGACTATTGAAAAATGTTCTATGATATATCGCCTTCCATAACAAATATTGAATTTGGAAGAAATCGTGAATAGGAATGAAAAACTTATCTCCGGTTCGTTGGTTTCTGGTCTGGTTTCCTCTTCGATACAATTTTTCCGTCGATTAATATTACGTCGCTTCTTCGATCTGAAACATACTTGGTATCATATCTCGAATTTGAAATATATATGAAAACTTTTTTCAAATTTTGTTGCTGAAACGCGACATATTCTATGAACGGAAAAATAGCCAACAATTTTCTCCTAAATGAGAAACACTGTATATACCTAACCCATCAGGCGCCTACCCCGGTTGCAACGAGGGTTTACCGATGCCAAGGGTTGATACTCTCCCCTCGTAAGGGTACCTGTTGTGTCTCCATTGAGACATAAAGGTGACTATTGAAAAATGTTCTATGATATATCGCCTTCCATAACAAATATAAAATTTGGAAGAAATCGTGAAAAGGAATGAAAAACTTATCTCCGGTTCGCTGGTTTCTGGTCTGGTTTCCTCTTCGGTACAATTTTTCCGTCGATTAATAATACGTCGCTTCTTCGATCTGAAACATACTTGGTATTATATCTCGAATTTGAAATATATATGAAAACTTTTTTCAAATTCTGTTGCTGAAACGCGACATATTCTATGAACGGAAAAATAGCCAACAATTTTCTCCTAAATGAGAAACACTGTATATACCTAACCCATCAGGCGCCTACCCCGGTTGCAACGAGGGTTTACCGATGCCAAGGGTTGATACTCTCCCCTCGTAAGGGTACCTGTTGTGTCTCCATTGAGACATAAAGGTGACTATTGAAAAATGTTCTATGATATATCGCCTTCCATAACAAATATAAAATTTGGAAGAAATCGTGAATAGGAATGATAAACTTATCTCCGGTTCGTTGGTTTCTGGTCTGGTTTCCTCTTCGGTACAATTTTTCCGTCGAATAATAATACGTCGCTTCTCTTCGATCTGAAACATACTTGGTATTATATCTCGAATTTGAAATATACAGGGTGAGACAAGCTGAACGCATCGGGCTATAATATCCAAACGGTTAATTTTCTTAGAAATAATTTCATTCAGGCGAAATATGTCGATCTGGACTACATTTTGAAAATGGTGTGATGAATATAGAGTGTCTATAGAAAAGGTGGCATATCAAAGTCATACTTTTTTAAAACAAAAATGTCACAGAAAAAAGTACTTCATTGAACAACAATCTTCAAATGACTACCAAACGAAGTCCTTCTGCCAACAACTTTCATAAGAAATATGAATATTGAAAGAAATGTTAGAAATAAATTGGATTTCAGTAAGTGATACAGTGATTATGAGAAGAAACATCATGATGAGATATGGAATAGGGATATGTGAAGGAACTCACCATTATGGAGGATACAATTTCTTTTTCATCATGAATTACTTTTCGTGACTGTAACAAAAGAAATGAATTATTATCGATATATTCATACAAGGCCGAGTACAAGACAGTATGTCAGTTGTTTCAAACGCTGGTATTTTGAGAACTATGGAATTTAGTAGTATAGAATATTAGGTAAATGATTGTTAAGAATTATGAGATATTCAAGCCCTCCAAATTTCGTTGTGATATACCAAGTGGTTCAAAAATTAGAATAGTGGAATGGACTTCAGACTTGAACAGTATACGGGAATACATAAGTAGGATAGATCAAATTGAATCACACTGTATACATGAATAATGGACACAAAAATACTGTCAGTCAGCAAAATAATAGATTTTTGATAACCACACTAGTGTCAATATGAATATCATTGAAATTAGTGTTCTCATGTCCGAGATGTAAACTGAAAGTGAATTGCAGAAATATATTTTGTTTACATTTATGTGTCGATACGAAATGTCAAATTGACATTAGGACCAATATGGAATTATTCTTAATATTTTTTTTCTGTGACGGGAAAAAAGTTTGGCATTTCATCTCTGTTGGCAGGTTATAAAATGTTACTTTTCATAAATTACTTTTTTCCCGTGGGAAAAAAGTGAGTACTTTTTTCCCGGATATATATCACATATATATACACTGTTGATGGCTTTTGTTGTGCTATAGTTCCGAAAAATGAGTCAATAATACCGTCTCCGAGAAAGTCCTTTTATCTTCCATTCGACTTCGGGGTTACGTATATTACTAAACAACCACTAACTTCGCAATTTTTTGAAATCAAATCACAGAATTAGACTGACAGAAGTGACATCAGATATTTGAATACTCCAAAAGAATGATGAAGATGCCTACAACGCAGGTGTCCCTACTGTTAAAAACTCAAAATTTCACGTCGATAATTTTCAGATTTCAAAATAATGTAATATCTTCTCAATATTGATTCGTCCTTTCTTCTGTCACAGAAAGAAATAGTGTATTATACACGGGAAAAATATTAGATTTTAGCTCCAGGTTGTGTTGTCTCTCGACAAAAAACCGAACTACTTTTTTCCCTTGTATAATAAATAACTATAAATGCTATCAGAGGTTTCCCCTCCAATTGAATCGGCCGTACACAATGAAATCTAATATGCGACTGATGAATGGCTGGCTTGATTCATTATCCCGATGACTAATCAGTTACGTCATCCTTCTAACCGGTTAATTCCCGAACAATAAAATTGTATCTATGACAGAAGATGATATCGAAACATAGTTTTACAGGGGGTTGAAAGAAATCAAATATATTTACAATAAAAAAACAGGGTCATTTTTAGTATATAGGGTGAGTCAATAGTGTGTTCTCTTTCGATATTTACCAAACCGTCAGATATATAGACAGTATTCAAATACAACAGTTATACGGTTTCATGAGTACTATCACCTAAAATTATTTTCATATCTATAGTGTGTACGAATTCCAAGATCGGCTGATAATTAGTTTTTTTAATGGGACACCCTGTTTTCAACTATTTTCGAATGCACTGGCAAAATTGCTACACAAATGGTTTTTGTTTTCTATATTTGCTATATACAGGGTGTTTCATAATTGAATGCTGATCCTAAAGGGCGATAATCCTTGGATGATTTTAAGAAAAATTCTTCATGTGAACATAGGTCAGTAACAGCTTCGTTTCTGAGATACAGGATGTTGAAATTTAACAAAAAAATCAGTTATTCCCCAATATCTCTGAAACCGCTCTGGCTTTTTTCTTCAATTTTGGTACATGCCAAGTATGAATAGAAATACATTTTTTTTCATAATAAAGGATTTCTTAATTTCCATCAGTGGCGTCCCTGTTAACATACCCTGTCATATTTTTCATCAAAATAATGATACGCCACTGTCTTTTTCCAAATAAATATCATTTTTGTAATTATCCTCTATCTTCTCATAAAAATGGTCTCTTGCCTATTTTTCGTCCGGCGAACGGTTTTTGAGTTAGAAAATGAAATGCATTCATTTGCTTGTCCCTATTCGATTTTTACTCTAGTCATAATTTCACAATTGTGGTAACCAAAAGATCTAAGCAATATTTTTATAATTTCATGGTAACCATTTTTGAGTTTCTGTAATGAAGAAGAAAGCCAGAGCGGTTTCAGAGATATTGGGGAATAAGTGATTTTTTTGTTAAATTTCAACATCCTGTATCTCAGAAACGAAGCTGTTACGGACCTATGTTCACATGAAGAATTTTTCTTAAAATCATCCAAGGATTATCGCCCTTTAGGATCAGCATTGAATTATGAAACACCCTGTATATATAGGGTGATCCACGGTGGATTGAACATTCTCTATCCGTCTGGAATATTTTCATCGATACAGTGTTGCCACTTCTATTAGAAACAACTAGCAACTTTGTTATTTCAAATAGAACACCCTGTATTGAAGAGCTGATTTCATCAATGCATCACACTTGGGGTCTAGCAGGAATGATTACAGAGATATAGGGTGTTCAAAATCGAGATTTGTCAATTTTAGGATTTTTTTGTGTCGAAACTATTCATTATCGATCAAAACGGCTTACATGTCCCTATCTTTTGATTCACTATTTGCTGGAATTTAATTGGAAAAAATACAGGGTGCGTCAAGATTCAGAATTCTGATCACTCTGTATCTGTGATTGATGAAATAAATGATGAATAAAATACAGGATGCTCCATCTATAATAACGAAGTTGCTAGGTGTTTCTGATAGAAGTGGCAACACTGTATCGATGAAAATATTTTAGGCGGATAGAGAATGTTCAATTATCAAAGCATCCCAATTTTCAGAATGTTCTGTTTTTTCGTTCTCCAGATACTTCTAATGGGCCATCCACCGTGGATCATCCTGTATATGGATATTAGTACCTAAGTATACATTATTTCGTATATACCTATAAATAAGTCTCTACAAAATGGCGAATGTTTCTGCAACTCATTTCAATACCTATTTTTAGTACCTCTGTATGAGTTAAAGCGGATTATTCCATCTTGAATGAATAAGAAATTTTAAAATATTTGTGTATACCGAATTGCATTGCAAAATATTCAATCATTCTTGAGTTATTGCGAAAAAACACTTTTTATTTCTAAGCTTCCACACCCTGTATCTCGAGAACTGAACACTTCGAGACCGTATGTCCCCATCTCATTTATCATGAAATCACAAGGGCTATGTATATCATACAAGAACACTTACCATTTTGAAAAAATAAAACTTTCACACAGTCAAATGCGAACACAATCACTAAGCCGAATATGAATTCCAATAATATTCCACTCTCAAATACTTCGAGTTCTTTTTTTAATATCACTTGGATCGACCGTACCCGATGAAGTCTAGAACGAGACTGCTTATTGGTTTGATTCATCATTAGTTACTTCATCCTTTCAACCGATTCATTCCCGAACAAGTATATGACTAATTCCGATATTGATAGTAGGTATACGGAGTGGATGAGAAATTTATGAGGATATTTTCTTTGAATACTGATTACGGAGGTGCCAATATTATCTATGCTGTGTATTAATATCAACACACTTTTATTATTTTATTTTCTACTTCTTTTTAGTTTGGCTATCTATGAAAGCGTGTTTCTTTAGTTTTTCAAACTATTATTTATTTGTCTGAATCACCTGCCTATACCTTTTTTTTAATTTCGGATATTTTTTGCAGGAAAGGTCGTCGAATGTCGGCCAGGTTCTTTACAAAAACGGCGGATAAACAAATACACCGCCGCTTTGGATTCCTACAGAAACAATCTGCATCGCAGGGACATGGTCAAGGTTATAGATGGACCTCATTCCGGATTTTCCGGTGAAATCAAACATCTCTATAGGTGAGTGTTTTCGAACTCAAATTCGAAAATATTAATTTTCAGATGGGACAAATTGACGTTTTGATATGTTAACTAATGTGTCAGAATCCTGAGTTGTATGCCAAAGTCCTGAATTAGTTGTCAGAAGTCAGGGTTTAATGACGGAATTTCGGAATGCATGTGAAAATTCTGGCTTGTTTATCTGAATTAAGAGATAGAAAATGGAATTCTGACATAAAATATCAGAATTGGTAGTTGAATGATGACATTCAGGGTTGCATGTCAGAATTGAGAGATACAATTCCAATTTCTGAGATAGAAAATGAAATTCTGACATACATGTCAGAATTACGTGTTGCCAAGTATGAATTCTGGGATACTTGTCAGAATTATTCCATTTGAGTCTAAATCACAATGAGTATGTATTATTCAGAGGTTCCAATCACTCGTAAAAATCCTGTATTTCAAATATAAAATTAATTCATTAACCTGTTTTTTGCAGGAACTTCGCGTTTTTGCATTCTGTGGAATTTTTGCAAAACGGCGGTATTTTCGTTTGCAAATGCAAACACCTCCAGTTGGCCGGAGGCAACAAAACCGTTCCCACTGCCGATATCGGCGTCGGTATGGAGTACATGTCTCCAAGGAGGAGTTCCCCCATGCATCCATCAAGCGGTGGAACAGGTGGCGGTAAGCTCGTTTGTTTTTATCATGCTTATATTATATTAGCTTGGTATGTATGTATGTTTGTTTGTTTGTAATGGAATTTTCGAACGTGATTTTGACCCCCATCGAAACGTCCGATTGATTTAAAATTGTTGGAATAAAAACGAAATTGCTATCTGGGGGTTTTCTGGGTGGCAGATTATGATTTTTTCGTCAAAATTTGAAAATTAAAGATGGCGGATCCAATATGGCAGACGAGTTTTGTAATTATGATCCGATTCTATTCAAAATTTGTATCTGGGGGTGTTCTGGTTCGGAGATTATGATCCCTTCATTAAAATTGGTAAATTCAAGAGGGCGGATCCAATATGGCGGACGAGTTCTGTAATTATGACCCGGTTCTATTCAAAATTGGTATTTGGGGGTGTTCTGGTTCGGAGATTATGATTCTTTTGTCAAAATTGGGAAATTGAAGATGGCGGATCCAATATGGCGGAGGCGGACGAGTTTTGTAATTATGATCCAATTCTATTCCAAATTGGTATGTGGAGGTTTTTGGGGTCAGAGATTATGATTCTTTCGTCAAAATTTGCTTCACGGGGTTTTTCGGGTCGGAGATTATGATTATGATTATTTGTCAAAATTGGAAAATTCAAGATGGTGGTTCCAATATGGTAGATAAATTGTGTAATTATAATTCAATTCGATTCAAAATATGAATCTGGCAGTTTTCGAGGTCAAAGATTATGATTCTCGCTTCAAAATAGGGAAATTCAAGATGGAGGATCAAATTTGGCGGACGAGTTTTGTAATTATGATTCGATTCTATTCAAAATTGGTATCTGGGAATTTTCGAGGTCGAAGATTATGATTATTCCGTCAAAATTAGTAAATTCAAGATGGCGGATCACACATCCCTGAAGAATTTTGTAAACATGATCCGTTATATTCAAAATTTTCATCTGGGTTTTTAGGAGTCGGAGATTATGATTCCTCGGGCAAAATTGGGAAATTCAAGTGAACTAAAAAGGAGTAGAAAATAAATGCTTTTATATACAGGGTGGCCCACGGTCGATGGTACCTTAGACGTATACGGAAAACGGTACATTGGATTATCCTAAAAATTCGGTTACTCTTATAAGCGTTTGTGATCTAACGATTCAAAATATTTTCAGAGATGCAGCGTTGCCACTTTTACCAAAGAGTAGCATCATCTTTGTTATTTCAAATGGAACACCCTGTATATTCATTGCGTTTTAAAATTCTTCTCGAAGAGCTGATTTCATCAATATATCACACTCGGGGTCTAGCAGGAATTATTACAGAGATATAGGGTGTTCAAAATCGAGATTTTTCAATTTCAGGAATTTTTTGTGTCGAAACTATTCATTATCGATCGAAACGGCTTACATGTCCCTATCTCAACTTTTGATTCACTATCTACTGACATTTAATTGGAACAGATACAGGGTGATCAAAATTCTGAATCTTGGACCATCCTGTATTTTTTCTAATTAAATGTCGGTAGATAGTTGATCAGAAGTTAATATAGGGACATGTGAGCCGTTTTGACCAATGATGAATAGTTTCGACACAAAAAAATCCTAAAGTTGAAAAATCTCGATTTTGAACACCCTATATCTCTGTTATAATTCCCGCTAGACCCCAAGTGTGATACATTGATGAAATGAGCTTTTCGAGAAGAATCTAAAAACGCAATAAAATACAGGGTGTTCTATTTGAAATAACAAAGATGATGCCACTTTTTGGTAAAAGTGGCAACGCTGCTTCGCTGAAAATATTTTGAATCGTTAGATCACAAACGCTTATTGAAGTAACCAAATTTTCAGGATAATATGATGTACCGTTTTCCGTATACGTCTAAGGTACCATCGACCGTGAGCCACCCTGTATAGTCAAACTAAAATGAAGTAGAATATTCAACTGAAAAAATATTTCCACGAAATAATGTACAAGCAAAACAACGTTTGCTGGGTCAGCTAGTTATGTATATAGCAAAACAACATTTAAAGTCCGACCACGATAACTTTGGGACAGCACGTGGTCGCGAATGCATTGAATATGCATATGCGTTGCGTCACATGCTGTCTCAAAGTTAACGTGGTCGGACTCTACCTGGGCTGCTAGTCTTAGAAATTCTTGAGCGATTTCAGACAACCATTTTCTTTTTTCTGTCGCAGTCGGCGGTTTCGGCGGCGGTAGGGGTGGCGGGGGCGGCCGAGGTAGGGGCGTGACGAGAGACCGCGACATCATCGGCACGACGATCAAGATCACGCGCGGTCCCTACAAGGGCAACATCGGGATAGTGAAGGACGCGACGCAGGCGACGGCGAGGATCGAGCTGCACACCTCGTGTCAGACGATTTCCGTCGACAAGAACCATATCGTGGATGTCGGTGAGTATGACATTTTGTGCACTTACATTGATTTTGATGGAATTCCGTATGAGGTTGGGCTGAAAAAGAAACACTTATTTTGGTAGGCATTTCCTGAGTCAAATACTTTCCTATTGGCAAAATTCGAAATTTTCATAATAAATAATTTGCATCTTTCTACGACAACCCTGTATTGCCATTATGAAACACATTTTTTTACCTTTCTTAATTTTATTTATTTATTCTCTTATTGAACGAATACCTGTCATCAAACCAAATACCAAGATATTTTATCTGGTCAGTTTGTTTTAAGAGTTCATTTTTTATTTTAAGGTTGAGGTACATTTTTTGTTCAGTTTTTTGGTGAAAAATTATATAAGGTTGGAGTGGAGCCATTTTTCAAATATTTTCAAGTCTTCATTTATCTTATTTCCTAAATTTGAAGAATTCTTGCCTTTATATAAAAGTACTGTATCATCTGCATACATGGTATATTTATTCGCTAGACCAATTTCACTGATATTTTGAACATAAAGTAAATATAGTATAGGTCCTAAAACAGAGCCTTGTGGGACACCCTTATTAATTAATAGTTCATTTGACTCAGAGTTGGTTGATTTTGTATTGATTGTCCTATTTTCAAGATATGAATTCAAAATATTTCTCACAGTGCCTCTGAGTCCCATTGTTTCTAAGTTTTCTAAAAGTGTTGTATGATCAACTGTGCCAAAAGCCTTTATGAGATCAATGAAAACAGCTACCACATAATTTCCTGAATCAAGTCCTCTCTGGATTGAATCTATCACTTTTAATACTGCTGCTTGTGTACAGGGTGAACAACTAAGAATTGCTATAATCATTCTTACTTCCAGCTTGACTGATTGATTGATTGTTTTTATCACCCCAAGAAGCATATCTGTTCATAATAGGGATACATGAACACATATAAAAATAATAATAAAAATATTGAAAGGCAGACTGATGAATTCCACTCAGTGAAAACAAATTCATACTTTTTCTCAAGATGAAAGTTATAACATTTCAACTCTGTGTAATCAAATCATGCCAAATATTTTTCAAAATCAAATCGTTCTGACCAGGTATTGTTCAAGAATGATTTTAAATCTGCTTTCATCATGTATATTTTTCAATTCATTCGGTAATAAATTATTGTATACAATTATTCCATTATGAGATATAGATTGTTGGCCCTCTAGCGGCAACGGTGATATAAATATGAAACCAATTCAAATCACAGTTAGTAAAACAGAAAGAGGCCTCTACAAAGAGCCTAAAATTGTTGAATTCTGAAGATAACCAGAGTTACAGGCGTTTAGAAAAAACGTAATTTGACGTTCCTCCACCACTATATTTCTTGAGATGATACAAAATGTGTGAATTGCATACATTATCAGTACACCTTGATACTACCAAATACTGTGAAAATTTCAATGTTCTCTCTACTCATAGCCGTTAAGCCACCTAGCGGTTATTTCAGTCCTGAAAATTTCTTCCAGCTATTTTTTAAGGTCACTTTTCTTACGATATATTTTTTCCAAAGTTGAATCATTATTTGTTGCTGAGTTATGGGCGACAGTCGTTCTTAGTTGTTCACCCTGTACATTTGCAACTGTAAAATATGCTAATTTGCAGCTGCAAATTGCAAATTTAAATTGACAAAAATCCGCCGTTCTATAGACCAACAACGAGTTTTGATAGAGTATTGATCGACATTGAAGTGATTTAGAGTCGCAGTTGTAAATTAGATGCTGATATTGATATTGCAGTAAAAAATTTCCCCCATAGTTGGTGCCTTAAGAAGATGTCCAAAACTTCTCCCAAATATAGCAAATACCGTTCTATACTCTCACATCCTTAGTAAAATGAACTATCTCATAAATATTTGGGGTTCATGTTCCAAGAATAATTTCAACAAAATATCTGTACTGTATAAAAAAGCATTAAAAGTACTGTATCGTCTTCCATATGACACCCCATCAAATCAACTTTATGAAGAAACAAATACATTTTCTTTAGAAGAGCACTATCTGATAAATACTCTCAAAATTTCTTTTGATATTATCAACAAACACCTCAAATCTAACTTCGTATTGGAAGGGAATTCTCAAATTCTTGAACATCATACTAGACAATATGACTTGTTTCATCTTGATGCTGCTCATTCTACACTTGGTCAAAAAAAGTTCACTCACGGAGCTATCTCAAAATTCAATAAATTACCTGATGATATCAAAAGTTGCACAAATATCACCCAATTCAAAATCAAAGTCAAGAAACATATCCTCTTGCAAAGAGAAACTCAAACCTGAGTGAATGATTTCTCATTGACTAATTTATTTCATCATGTCATAATGTACTTTTCATGAGCTTTTTGTTTTATTTTTTTTTTTTTTTCATATTCTGTTGTTTATTTCAATAACTATAATTTAATTTGATAATGCATGAATAATCTCATACCAGATATGAATCTGTCTGATTATTCATGTTATTATTTATTTATTTCAGTTATTGCATTACATTCTCTTCTTCATTGATACATTTCATACAAATAATATATAAAGTATAATTAATTTTCTAGTAGGAATGACATGAATGATCAGACAGTAATTCCTGGTATAAGATCATTCATGAAGTATTATCGACTGTTGTATAATTGAAATTACAAATAGTGAACAAAACTTACATATCATTAAGATACAGACATATTATAGTGAACAAGAAGGGGAAAAATAAAAACAGTGAAAAAAAAGAAAAAAGGAAATTCATAGTTTTTCAGCTTTGATCATTCCTTTGCATATAAATATATTTCTTGACTTTATTTTTGAATTGCATAATATTTGAGCTGTTTTTGATATCATCAGGTAAATTATTGAATTTCGAAATCGCCTCATGTGTAAACTTTTTTTGTCCAAGTTTAGAATTTGCAGCTTCAAGATGAAACAAGTTATATTGTCTAGTGTGATGATCATGAATTTCGGAATTCCTGATTAATATAAAATTTGATTTAAGCTTTTTGTTCATGATATAATAGGAAATTTTGAGAGTATTGATTAAAAAGTGCTCTTCCAAAGAAAATGTGTTTGTTTCCTTATACAGTTGATTCGTTGGAGTATCACATGGAAGACGATACAATACTTTCAATGCCTTTTTATATAGAACAGAAATTTTGTTGAAACTATTTTTGGAACAAGATCCCCAAATATTTATGAGATAGTTAATTCGACTGAGTATATGTGAATAGAGAATAATATTTGATGTATATGTACTAAGTTTAGGACATCTTCTCAAAGCACCAATAATGGGAGATACTTTTCCTATGAGGATGTCTATATGCTTTCCCCATGTTAATTTCTCATCAATCCAAATACCAAGGTATTTGGTATGGGCAGTTTGTTTCAAACGTTCATTTTTTATTCCATTGTAAATGTTAATGATTATATTTATATTTATATGAGATGCAATGTAATGTTTATAAATAGCAAAGATTGAAATAAAGATTTAATAAATGTTCTTTCGTTGTTTTAGGTGCACCTGGCAAAGAGGGCGGCGCCTCCAGCTACGGCAGGACGCCGGCGTACAGCGGCAACCAGACGCCGTTGTACAGGGACACGGGCAACAAGACGCCGATGTGCGATTCGGGGTCGCGCACCCCTTTGCATTACGGCTCGATGACGCCCGTCCACGATGGTTCAAGGACACCGAACGCCAGCTCCGAGTGGGATCCTGCCGTTTCCAATACGTATCCGTCGCCTGGATATAATCCAAGTAGGTTGGAAGGAAACAAAAAGCAACATTTGCTCAGAAATTTTTTTCTTAGAAATTATGCTCGGACTTTTTCTCAGAAATTTGGCTCAGAAATTTTCTTTTCAGATTTTTTTTTGAAAATTGGCTGAGAAAATTTGCCATCGAAGGTTTCTTGAAACATTTTTGCTTTAGAATTCTTCAGAAATTTGCCAGAAATACGAAATATTGTTCAGAAAATTTACCACAAAAGTGTCCTTGGATATTTTCATATAAATTCCTCCAGGAATTGGTCAAAAATTTACAAAACATTGCTCATACTATTGTGCGATTCGTGGTCGTGCCCATGATGGTTCAAGGACACCGAACGCCAGCTCCGCGTGGGATCCTGCCGTTTCCAATACGTATCCGTCGCCTGGATACAATCCAAGTAGGTTGAAAAGAAAAGTAAACATTTGCTCAGAAATTTTTTCTTATAAATTATGCTCGGACTTTTTCTCAGAAATTTGGCTCAGAAATTTTCTTTTCGGATTTTTTTTTGAAAATTGGCTGAGAAAATTTGCCATCGAAGGTTTCTCGAAATATTTTTGCTATAAAATTCTCCAGAAATTTGCTAGAAATACGAAATATTGTTCAGAAAATTCACCACAAAAGTGTCCTAGGATATTTTCATATAAATTCCTCCAGGAATTGGTCAAAAATTTACAAAACATTGCTCATACTATTGTGCGATTCGTGGTCGTGCCCATGATGGTTCAAGGACACCGAACTCTAGCTCCGAGTGGGATCCTGCCGTTTCCTATACGTATCCGTCGCCTGGATATAATCCAAGTAGGTTGGAAAGAAAAAAATAGGAAACATTTGCTCAGAAATTTTTTCTCAAAAATATTGCTCGAAATTTTTTCTCAGAAATTTGGCTCAGAAATTTTCTTTTTAGATTTTTTAAAAATCGGCTGAGAAAATTTGCCATGTAAGGTTTCTTGAAACATTTTTGCTATAGAATTCTTCAGAAATTTGTCAGAAATACGAAATATTGTTCAGAAAATATACCACAAAAGTGTCCTAGGATATTTTCATATAAATTCCTCCAGGAATTGGTCAAAAATTTACAAAACATTGCTCATACTATTGTGCGATTTGTGGTCGTGCCCATGATGGTTCAAGGACACCGAACTCTAGCTCCGAGTGGGATCCTGCCGTTTCCAATACGTATCCGTCGCCTGGATATAATCCAAGTAGGTTGGAAAGAAAAAAATAGGAAACATTTGCTCAGAATTTTTTTTTCAAATATTGCTCGGAATTTTTTCTCAGAAATTTGGCTCAGAAATTTTCTTTCCAGATTTTTTTAAAAATCGGCTGAGAAAATTTGCCATGTAAGGTTTCTTGAAACATTTTTGCTATAGAATTCTTCAGAAATTTGCCAGAAATACGAAATATTGTTCAGAAAATTTACCACAAAAGTGTCCATGGATATTTTCATATAAATTCCTCCAGGAATTGGTCAAAAATTTACAAAACATTGCTCATACTATTTTGCGATTCGTGGTCGTGCCCATGATGGTTCAAGGACACCGAACGCCAGATCCGAGTGGGAACCTGCCGTTTCCAATACTTATCCGTCGCCTGGATATAATCCAAGTAAGTTGGAAAGTAAAGAAGAGGAAACATTGGATCCGAATTTTTTCTCAGAAATGTTGCTCGGATTTTTTTCAGATATTTGGCTCAGAAATTTCTTTTCAGTTTTTTTTTTGGAAAATTTGCTCAGAAAATTTGTCGAAAGCTTTTTTGAAACATTTTTTTCTGTGGAATTCTTCAGAAATTTGCCAAAAATACAAAGAAAATGGTCAGAAAATTTACCACAAAGGTTTCCTGGGATATTTTCCTATAAATCCCTCCTGGAATTTGTCAAACATTTACAAAACATTGCTGCTATTATGCGAACACCGAACACAAGCTCCGAGTGGAATACTGCCGTTTCGGATACTTATCGGATATAATCTAAGTAGGTTGGAGAAAAGAAAGAGGAAATTTTTACTCAGAAAATTTTTTTCAGAAAATTTTTGTCAGAAATGTTGCTCGGAATTTTTTCTCAGAAAATTTGCCAGGGAAGGTTTCTTGAATCAATGTTTCTATCAAATTCTTCAGAAATTTGTCAAACATACAAAAAATTGGTCAGAAAATTTACCACAAAGGTGTCCTAGGATATTTTCTATAAATTCCTCCAGGAACTTTTGACTCGGCTACGCCTCGTTAAAAATCAGATCTCGATCACAAAAGTAGCATTTGGCGCACTAGATACAAAAATAACTATTTCAAAATATCTAGCTAAATAAAACAAAAACAGTAAGATTCTGAAAATTCATGTGATACTTATCATATTGTTAGATACGCAACATGCGAAAATTATCTTTCTTTATTGGATTTTCCAATAAAGCTCCTTAATTCTCATTATTATTCCCGTGTAGGCACCCCCGGGTACCAGATGAACGGCCCCTACACCCCCCAAACGCCCGGCACCATCTACGACAGCACGTACAGCCCCTATCAGGCCAGCCCCGGCTACCAGAGCGTCGTCTCCACGCCCAGCCCCGCCGCCGGCTACGGCCAATCGCCGGCCAGCAGCAACTCCTACAGCACGCCCAGTTCCGCCTACAGTCCCAACATGCCGTACAATCCGCAGACGCCGGGCGCTGGGCTCGACGTCATGCCCATGACCGATTGGCATACGGTCGACATCGAGGTTTGTTTAGTGTTTGTATGACCCTGTATAGTAGCGCAGTTCAGGGAATATCACATATCTTATAACCATACAAATTCAGTCCACTATATGTTGAGCAACAAACATATTGGTCCTTCGAGTCGGATCTAGTCAAATCAAATCAAACCTTCAAGACTACACGTAACTCTCCCAATTACTTTGGACTCAAAGTTTTCAATAAACTTCCCAGTCGATTGAAAAACTTCAAAAAACTCAGTCATTTCAAAACGAACTTGAAGCAATTTCTACTGGAAATGAATCCCTATACTTTAGAAGAATATTTTTCGGCAGCCTAGTCTTTTTGTTTCTGTCTCTGTAATATCTAAATATTATGTCTCTGTCTCAAACTGTCTAGTTTTAAGCCTTCAATCTGACGATTCCTATACATGTGAAAATGTCTAATGGAAAATAAACGTATTGTATTGTATTGTATTGACTGCCAAGTTCTTTCAAAGAATACAGGGCAGCTCTCAAGATTACCTGGAGTGACGTGAATGCCAAGCTCTGTATCATTTGTGATGAAGTTGGCAGTCTCGAAGGATTGATTTGAATAGATCCGGCTCGAAGGACCAATATGTTTGATGCGTGATGGATGTATTTGTATGGTTACCTACTAACTAACGTTTTTTTGCAGATTTGAATAATGAAAACTGTTTAGTGACAACAATAAAAATGCGATGCTAAATAGCATTGTAACCTTTTTTGCAATATGAATTGTAATTCTAATAACAATCTTTATTTCATTATCATATATCATATATACGAATACAGTCCACTATCTGTCAAGCATGGAACAAATTGGTCCTTTGAGCCGGATCTATTCATATCGAACCTTCAAGACTGCCAATATGTTCAATGCTTACCTTATTTGTCTTCCCATTTTTTGTAAATAAATACAATTTTGTTTTTGTTTTTTTTTTAGGTTAGGATACGCGACAGTCACGACGACTCTGGCCTAGTGGGCCAAACGGGCGTGATACGGAGCATATCGGGCGCCATGTGTACGGTCTTTTTGCCCGCCGAAGACAGGGTGGTCAACATCATGTCCGACCATCTGGACCCGGTGCGACCGCAAAGGGGCGACAAATTCAAAGTGAGTGTGGTGTGTTGTCAGTTGTCAGTAATAGATGTCACCGGCATAAAAACCGACTAGAAAAAATGATCACCCTGCACCATTTTTTATTTCTTGTCGGATTCTGGTGCAAATTCGACAAAATCATAGATTTATGACATGAATGTGAACACATTGACTTACATACCTTGGAAGAAAGGCAATTTGAACAAACAATTGAAAGTACTTCAAAAAATCTAATTTTCAAACCAATCAATTCTTCACCTCGATTTTCCTATAGAAACATAGGTTGAGATAATAAATAATGACTGTATACACATTGGCTTACATATCTTGGGAGAGGAGCAACATACCTTGGAAAAGGAGCAATATGAAGATGAAATTGAAAATACCTCAAAAAATGAAATGTTCAAATCAATCAATTCTTCACCTTGTTTTTCCGGCAGAAAAATAGGATGAGATGATCGAAAAATAATGGCTGTATACAGGGTGTGTATACAATGTGTCCCTCTTACCATGCTCACCATGGGTATCTTTTTAACGGTGAGAGATACGAGGTCGGTTAAATGACACCAAATGTGGAGTTTGTCAAGGCCAACTTCAATGTGAAAAAATATTTTGATAAAATCTATTCGTTTTTGTTTTATACGCAAAAAACAGATTTTGATCATTTTCATGTCTCCTCCGTAACTTCTTTATTTATGGAAATATTCAAATAGGAATTTCACATTCTCATGGCAGTTTTTCAAAGTGATTTCGAAAAAAATATGAAATTTATACCAACTCTTCTAGAATTTTGGATATCAGCACCAACTTTAGTTTTTCAAATGTAGGTCATAGCTCACTATGACTTAGTTACAAATAACTTTTTTTTCTCTTACAGATGATATGTCGCAGTAATAGTTTTGTGTTGATAACAACGGAGTTATCGTCATTTATACAAAAACAAAAAATTATTTGGAAGCCGCCATCTTGAATTTATAAATTTTAACAAAAAATCATGATCTCCGACCTCAAAAACCCCCACTTATCAATTTTGAATGGAATCGGACCAAATCTTGTCCACAATACATTATGGAATTTTTGTTGAAATTAAAAAAAATGGCTGCTCCAAGATGGCGGACAAGATTTGGTCCGATTCCATTCAATATTGGTGAGTAGGGGTTTTTGGGGTCGGAGAACATGATTCTTTCGTTAAAATTCATAAATTCAAGATGGCGGCTTCCAAATAATTTTTTGTTGTAAGAGAAAAAAAGTTATTTGTATATAACTAAGTCATAGTGAGCTATGACCCACATTCGAAAAACTAAAGTTGATGCTGATACCTCAAATTCTAGAAGAGTTGGTATAAATTTCATATTTTTCCCGAAATCACTTTGAAAAACTGCCATGAGAAATTCCTTTTTGAATATTTTCATAAATAAAGAAGTTACGGAGGAGACATGAAAATGATCAAAATCCGTTTTTTGCATTCAAAACAAAAACGAATAGATTTTATCAAAATATTTTTTCACATTATAGTTGGCCTTGACAAACTCCACATTTGGTGTCATTTAACCGACCCCATATCTCTTATCTTAAAAAGATTCCCATGGTGAGCATGGTAAGTGGGACACACTGTATATAACACCGAAAAATTCAAGGGTTTTTTTCTGTATATTATGTATAAAATAAAAATTCTGTCACGGTATTTGGACGTTTCGGGAACGGATCTGCCTGTTTTCAACATGGAAAAATAATGAATCTTGTTTTCCCTATTGACAGCTCTCAGTAACAAGAGTCTAACGTCCTCTTTCCAGATGTTTTCTGTCAGTTTTTATTTTCTTTTAACTAATCTGAAACATCCAGTCACTGTTTTTCGAAGTCTTCGATGATGGCAATCTTTTTTTAGGTTATAATCGGGGAAGAACGGGAACAGACAGGCGAGTTGCTTTCCATAGACTTACACGAGGGCGTGGTGAAGATAAAAGACGAAATTACCATGTTGCCGCTCCAGAATCTTTGCAAAATGAGAGGACCAGATCACTAGAATGGATCTTTCATGGTAGAGTTTGGAGAAGTACCTTGTGGAATTTTTTCCGTGTTAACTTGGTTCGAAAACAAGGTAACAGTAACAAAGTTGATGAGAATGATAATGTACTTGAGCTGAAAAAAAATATAGAGATGTCTTGAGTATTTTTATGGAAAACTGTACCATCCCAGATTTTCCTCTCCTTGCTTTTATAACACCGTAGAAATTATTTGTGACTTGCAGATTGCAGTCAATAACCGATATGATGCTAATTTTATAGACAATATTTTCTCCGTAAAAAAGCAATTATATTAACGAAATTATAGAATTTCAAGCTTTCTTGGTACGTCAACAGAAAAACTAGTTTCATTACTACATAAACAAAACTTGAGAGTTACTCAAAGAACAGAAAATTATGATCATAATAAATTGTACTGTGGTCCTGGGGTACATTGGTCAGACAGGTAGAACGTTTAACCACCGCTTTTAAGAACATCATGAGTTTTCTTCTAATGAGCACAAATTCATAACCATATGATAAAAGAGAATCATAGTTTTAACAATAACAAATTAGAAATTTTAAATGTAGAAAATGAAGAAATTTACCTGACGATCAAATAGACCACCTCAACAATTCATCAATGATTTGATCCGTAAAAAGCAATTCAATTAACGGAATTATAGAATTTCAAGTTATTTTGGAACCTCAACAAAAAAACAAGCTTCATAACTACATAAACAAAACTTGAGAGTTACTCAAAGAACAAAAAATAACATGTTGGGAAGGTTTATTAAAAATATGAAAGAAAACTTCTGAATTTAAAAAATTATGAGTACAATATTGTACTGTGGTCTGGGGTACATTGGTCAGACAGGTAGAACGTTTAACCACCGCTTTTAAGAACATCTTGAGTTTTTTTCAATGAGCAGAAATTCCTTACTATATGTTAGAAGAGAATCATAGTTTTAACAATAACAAATTAGAAATGTTAAATGTAGAAAATGAAGAAATTTACCTGACGATCAAATAAACCACCTCAACAATTCCTCGATGATTTGATCCGTAAAAAGCAATTCAATTAACGGAATTATAGAATTTCAAGTTATTTTGGAACCTCAACAAAAAAACAAGCTTCATAACTACATAAACAAAACTTGAGAGTTACTCAAATAACAAAAAATAACATGTTGGGAAGGTTTATTAAAAATATGAAAGAAAACTTCTGAATTTAAAAAATTATGAGTACAATATTGTACTGTGGTCTGGGGTACATTGGTCAGACAGGTAGAACGTTTAACCACCGCTTTTAAGAACATCTTGAGTTTTTTTCAATGAGCAGAAATTCCTTACTATATGTTAGAAGAGAATCATAGTTTTAACAATAACAAATTAGAAATGTTAAATGTAGAAAATGAAGAAATTTACCTGAAGATCAAATAGACCACCTCAACAATTCATCGATGATTTGATCCGTAAAAACCAAATCAATTAACGAAATTATAAAATTTCAAGTTATTTTGGAACCTCAACAAAAAAACAAGCTTCATAACTACATAAACAAAACTTGATAGTTACTCACAGAACAAAAAATAACAGGTTGGGAAGGTTTATTAAAAATAAAAAAGGAAAACTTCTGAATTCAAAAAGTTATGAGTATAATATTGTACTGTGGTCCTGGGGTATATTGGTCAGACAGGTAGAACGTTTAACCACCGCTTTTAAGAACATCTTTAGTTTTTTTTAATGAGCAGAAATTCCTGACTATATGTTAAAAGAGAATCATAGTTTTAACAATAACAAATTAGAAATTTTAAATGTAGAAAATGAAGAAATTTCCCTGACGATCAAATAGACCACAACAATTCATCGATGATTTGATCCGTAAAAAGCAATTCAATTAACGAAATTATAGAATTTCAAGTTATTTTGGAACCTCAACAGAAAAACTAGCTTCATTACTACATAAACAAAACTTGATAGTTACTCACCGAACAAAAAATAACAGGTTGGGAAGGTTTATTGAAAATAAAAAAGAAAACTTCTGAATTCGAAAAATTATGAGTATAATATTGTACTGTGGTCCTGGGGTACATTGGTCAGACAAGTAGAACGTTTAACCACCGCTTTTAAGAACATCATGAGTTTTTTTTAATGAGCAGAAATTCCTTACCATATGTTGGAAGGGAATCATAGTTTTAACAATAACAAATTAGAAATCTTGACTGTAGAAAATGAAGCAAATAGGCCACCTCAACAATTCATCGATGATTTGATCCGTTAAAAGCAATTCAATTAACGAAATTATAGAATTTCAAGTTATTTTGGAACCTCAACAGAAAACCTAGCTTCATTACTACATAAACAAAACTTGAGAGTTACTCAAAGAACAAAAAATAACACGTTGGAAAGGTTCATTAAAGATGAAAAAGAAAACATCTGAATTCAGAAAATTATGAGTATAATATTGTACTGTGGTCCTGGGGTACATTGGTCAGACAGGTAGAACGTTTAACCACCGCTTTTAAGAACATCATGAGTTTTTTTTAATGAGCAGAAATTCCTTACCATATTTTAGAAGAGAATCACAGTTTTAACAATAACAAATTAGAAATTTTGAATGTAGAAAATGAAGAAATTTACCTGAAGATCAAATAGACCACCTCAACAATTTATTTTCTCCTTATGTAATATGAATTATGTAGAGATCTCATCCTTTGTGAAGTTTTTCACTATTCCAAATCTTTCATCGAGATTGTCATAGTGCCCTTTTCATCATTCTTTATGTTTTTTCTAATTTATCTAGTAGATCATCTTTTTAAAATTTTTTCAAGTTGGCTTGTTTGGGAATCTGTGCATTGAAAGACAATTAAATTTCCAACAGTTTATTCACATAATTGTTAATTTTCAACAGAATCAGTCATGTCGACGAATAAAAAACATCGAAACGTTGATTAAATTTATTCAAGGGAGAAACGAATACAAAATCTGGGCGACTCGGGAACATATAAACGAATCAAGTACACACGTATTTTTGCCATTTCAAGCATTTTTCTTTTTGGTCAACAGAATCACGATTTTATTTACATACATATAAAAAACGTTGTAGTCTTAATCATTGCAGCTAATCAACACCTACCTATCCACCATTTTTAATATGGCTTATAATAATTAAACTTTCATCTATTCTACTTTCTATTTTTCGGTATTTTCTTATAAGGTGATCCCTTCATTGAAAGTTCATAAAAATACATAAAAAGCGAGAAGGATAAATAATTCAACACTGATAGGTTTCTATCTAAAAATGCAAAAATCAGATATCAAACTCGATTGAATAATCAAATGACTTTCAGTTGTTTCATTGCTAATTTTATTCACAACTGCATAATCACATTTCATAGTTATTTTACAAGAAAAATATCACAACTGACAATAATTTATTTAGCGAAATTTAACTATTACACAATCCATTATTGCGAGTGGCGGTACCTACTTGAAACTGCTTACAGGGTGATCCTGGATTTTTTCGCAAGTCCACCATTGATAAACTTATTCGAGAGAAAAACCTCGAAAATATTTGAGAAAGTTCTATCTGTGGTAGCCTCACAGAAGTTATGAATGGACAATCGATCACCCTGTAAACAATAGAATTTTCCAAGTTTCAGGTACTGCTACAATCAATAAATTCAATTGTTCAACATTTGGACGCAAAAAGTATTATTATTTGAAAATTTCACCATATTGAAATGAATCGATGTTTTTGAGATTTGTAAAATCAGAGGTTTATATACAGTGCGTTCTACTATGAGTGGCCAAAATCCATCACATAGCGGTACTTTTGGACTTCATCTCAAGACGTTCTCGACATTTCTACACTATTAGCAATTTGATGGAAAATATTGATTTTCTTCTGGTGTCATGCGACTTCTTGAAATTTATCTCCAGAATTTCGTTAACACCTTTTATATTGTGAAAAACTGTTTTAATGCCATTTGAAGTTCATTAAGGTACCAATAAAGCCACAAAGTTGAATCTGAAGGGGTGTATGGAAGCGTTACAAATTTAAAATAAACTGCTCAACACATGAAATGTAAAATCGCATTTTTTCCATGAAATTTTAATCATCATAACTTTCGATTTCCACAATCGATTTTCAATAATTCTTCAGTTTCTGAAAGCTCGTTTCATTGACTATCGAACTTATGGATATGACTATTTCATCTTTTCCGGATGAGATTCTACAGGATGATAATCAAACCTGTGCATTCTTCCAATAATTTCTAACGCCTATCTTTTGAAAGAAAAATGTTTCCAATTTTTTTTGGGTCTAAAACATATTGCTTCATATGTTTTCTCGATACTATGAAACATTTTTTGGAATTGTCACACGCTTAACTAAAATATGAATGTTTTTTTAAGATAATGCATAAATTAATGCTCTAATAACTATTGGCTTTGTGTTCTTGTCAATCTGGTTCGAATGGTGGTCAAAATCTTGAAATGATGCATGATCAACCCATTCTTATATACAGGGTCGTCGAGAAAACATATGAAGCAATATGTTTTTGATCCGAAAAAAAAACATTTTTGTTTCAAACGGGAGGCGTTTGAATTTTTTGGAAAATGCACAGCTTTGATTATCATCCTGTAGAATCTGATCCGGAAAAGATGAAATAGTCATATCTATTGGTTTGATAGTCAATGAAACGAGCTTTCAGAAACTGCAAAATAATTGAAAATCGCTCTAGGAAATCGAAAGTTATGATGATTTAAATTTGATCGAAAAAATGCGATTTTACGTTTCATGTGTTGAGCAGCTTATTTAATGAAATATGGAACCTACAACTTCAAAAATAAACCATTATGAGGGAGTATTCAAAAATCGACATACCTGTTCTAAAACAATGAATTTTTGCCACTCGAAGTGAAACAATCTGTATATACAGTTCCCGGTGTCCTTTGTCGATAAATTTTCAACGCTATACAGGGCGTCCACTTGGTGAGGTGTCTCTTAAAACAA